CCCAAATAGTTCTTGTCGGTGGTGCTTGTTCCGAAATTGCAGAGGACGATGTGCAGTGATTACCCCATGCAATATACATGCACTTCTTTACTCGAAAACTAAGTGGCGGAGGTTATGAATGAACTACGCCACCCTCAAGATTATATATATATATACATACTCGAAATGACTCCGTTTGACTTTGCCGGCACGCGCTTGATTCCTAGTGGCCGGATCAGGACGGCGCCCTCTTCTGAATGCTCGCCGGGCATGGCACCATCCCGAGTTTGAGGGCGCAAGGAGTGAGAGCCATCCACCACTTTGAATATGCCACTTGGAGCTTGGATATGGACAATGTTGTCTAGGAGTCTGGTTGGTATGTCGCTTGTGGCCAGGTTCAATATGTTCAATTCTCGAACGCTGCGGAGGATCAAAGCAAGCCACAATCAAGTGTGATGTGATCTCCTTTCGAAAGGGAGGATGCTGTAGTCCCTCGCCATTCTAATTTGAAGCGACCTCTAGCAATGTCCTCAACGGTTCAATTTCCAGCCAAACAAACACGATTGGATGCCGATTGGAGCTTCACAATTCTATGGAGCTGCAATCCTTTGAAGCTACTCTAGTTCGACTGACTAATTGTCAAAGCTTGGGCAGTTCAAAGTTTCTGTGGCTTCAAGTCAGAGCTGAACCAGTTCACAGTACCAGAGCAGCTGCCATGCTCGCCGTTTGTCCTTTTCGGGCTTAGCATTTGCCTGTCGTCTATCAGACATCATCGCCATACATATTGTGACTTTATGAATGCCAGCTCCAGTTCCTTTCTGGGCATTGCCCTTTGTTGAGCGCATCTCCCATTCACCAGGACACAACACAAGCACATCAGCGAGTCCGCTAGGTGCATATGGGCTCAACAGAGGTTTTGTCATTGCTCAAGAACGATGGGTCCGCAAGTTTGTAGGTTTGAGCCTGAGACGTTGCAGCTTCTAGGTTCGAAGAATGGAGATGCCTGTGGAAATATTGAGGTCTTGTGTGGAGCCTTCAAAGAGTAGGACCTGCACCGAGTTGACAGATGGGATTGTGATGCTTAGTCTTGCATTGGACATGTTGAACACAATCAGATGTGCATAGAAGACTCCGCTGCCAGCTGAATGACCCACACGCAGCTCACCAGGGTTCTTGTCGATGCGGCTCAATATAACGGTATGATATGTGTATATTGATGTGAACAGTATATGAAGACAGTGTAATAGTGTAGACGTAGAGGTACTGTATGTATGGCTTTCACCTGGATGTAGACCACTCCTTGCATATATCTCACTCTCATCTCGGTGAAGCAAAGCTTCAGCGCGTCTCCATGCGGACCAAGAGACGGCCAGCGCGGCCGTGGGAATCTTTGGCATGGCTCTGGCTTGTGGCAATTGCATGGCGTTTGCTTTCCAGGCTGGGAGCAAACATGCGCAAACAATCGGATCATCTTAGAGTTATATTAGTCTCTTGGATAGTCACCGACGTGTAAGGCCAGATGTTTGGATCCACGTCGGAGCTTATGTTTAGTTTGGGCAAGGAAATGCGGGCCGCTTTTCAATAGTCAAGCTTGAATTGTCAAGTCAATTATACATTGGAGGTTGATGGACGTGTCTTGGACATGGTTTCCATCGGCTCAGAAGAGCTTGGGATAAGCGTTGATGGAGAAAGCTGTGCTTTTGCAGTAAACTTGCTGGATACAATTGCAGATAGACGTTTTACACTACCGCTGGCCAATCACGCTTGGCTTCCGCAAGAGCGCTTTTGCCAGTGCTATGCTCGTTCGCATTCAGGTTACCAGGCTTTGTTTGATCCGAGCACTAATGCTTGCTTTATAAACACGAGGCCCGCTTGGACATAGCTCGCCCGCCAGAGCTAGCCGAAATGGGGGCAACAACTCCCACGTTGTACAGAGCGCTGCCAGGGGAAGCCAAAACTGGTGCTTGGCGGGGGATCGGGGTCTTGTCCAGTTTGCGTCTTGTAACTTTGCTTTAGATCCACGTTATTTTGCAGACTTGGCCGTTCATGATCATATGGCCAGTGTAGCTGCCTGAAATCGCGCGCAAATGTAACTGGAGGCGGGCAGGTTACAATATTTTTTTTGTTTTGAATGGAATTGCAGACGTGCGCCTGATGATGCACGCAAACACACACACACAGACTTGCAAAACGATGCGACCACTGACCACTGTAGACGTACATATGTGTCTTGTGCCCATGGTTCTAATATGGTTGCCTTGCCCGTTTCGCACTTTTACACCTTTGCTGATTCCCCGTGCTGACAGCACGGGCATACTAGTAACATTCAAATCTATAATATGTATGTAATGTATGTATGTAATGTAATGTAATGTAATGTAATGTAATGTAATGTAGTGTAGTGTAGTGTAGTGTAATGTATGTATGTATGTATGTATGTATGTATGTAATGTATGTATGTATGTATGTATGTATGTATGTATGTATGTATGTATGTATGTATGTATGTATGTATGTATGTATGTATGTATGTATGTATGTATGTATGTATGTATGTATGTATGTATGTATGTATGTATGTATGTATGTATGTATGTATGTATGTAATGTAATGTATGTATGTATGTATGTATGTATGTATGTATGTATGTATGTATGTATGTAATGTATGTATGTATGTATGTATGTATGTATGTATGTATGTATGTATGTATGTAATGTATGTATGTAATGTATGTATGTATGTGAATGTGTAATGTATGTAATGTAATGTAATGTAATGTAATGTAATGTAATGTAATGTAATGTAATGTATGTATGTAATGTATGTAATGTATGTAATGTAATGTAATGGTATGTATGTATGTAATGTATGTATGTATGTATGTATGTATGTAATGTAATAGTATGTATGTAATGTAAAAGTGTATGTATGTATGTATGTATGTATGTAATGTATGTATGTATGTATGTATGTATGTATGTATGTATGTATGTATGTATGTATGTATGTATGTATGTATGTATGTATGTATGTATGTATGTATGTATGTATGTATGTATGTATGTATGTATGTATGTATGTATGTATGTATGTAATGTATGTATGTATGTAATGTATGTATGTATGTATGTATGTATGTATGTATGTATGTATGTATGTATGTATGTATGTATGTATGTATGTATGTATGTATGTATGTATTGTAATGTATGTATGTATGTATGTATGTATGTATGTATGTATGTATGTATGTATGTATGTATGTATGTATGTATGTATGTATGTATGTATGTATGTATGTATGTAATGTCTGTGTGTATGTATGTATGTATGTATGTATGTATGTATGTATGTATGTATGTATGTATGTATGTATGTATGTATGTATGTATGTATGTAATGTATGTGTGTATGTATGTATGTTATATGTATGTATGCATGTATGTATGTATGTATGTATGTATGTATGTATGTATGTATGTATGTATTAATGTATGTAATGTATGTATGTATGTATGTAATGTTAATGTAAATGTCACTGTAATGTAATGTCAATGTAATGTAATGTATGTATGTTATGTATGTATGTATGTATGTATGTATGTATGTATGTATGTATGTATGTATGTATGTGTGTATGTATGTATGTATGTATGTATGTATGTATGTATGTATGTATGTATTATGTATGTATGTAACGTATGTATGTATGTATGTATGTATGTATGTATGTATGTATGTATGTATGTATGTATGTATGTATGTATGTATGTATGTAATGTATGGTATGTATGTATGTATGTATGTATGTATGTATGTATGTATGTATGTATGTATGTATGTATGTATGTATGTATGTATGTATGTATGTATGTATGTATGTATGTAATGTATGTCTGTATGTAATGTATGTATGTATGTATGTATGTATGTATGTATGTATGTATGTATGTATGTATGTATGTATGTATGTATGTAATATATGTAATGTATGTATGTATGTATGTATGTATGTATGTATGTATGTATGTAATGTAATGTAATGTAATGTAATGTAATGTAATGTAATGTAATGTTTTGTAATGTAATGTAATGTAATGTAATGTAATGTATGTATGTATGTATGTATGTATGTATGTAATGTATGTATGTAATGTATGTATGTATGTATGTATGTATGTATGTATGTATGTATGTATGTATGTATGTATGTATGTATGTATGTTAGTTATGTATGTATGTATGTGTGTATGTATGTATGTATGTATGTATGTATGTATGTATGTATGTATGTATGTATGTATGTATGTATGTATGTATGTATGTATGTATGTATGTATGTTTTGCTCAAGTGTATGTGATTTACAGCAGTACGGCCATTTTTCCAAGTGTCCATGCACACTACGATGAGGCGCACGAACACGCACCACGATGCACGTGTAGCACAGGGATGGCGCCGTGCTTTTGGGAGACAATCGTCAACTGTAGACCCGGGAACGCAAAGCACAAGGAACGCAAAGCGACATCATGATCATCATCATCATCATGACCATCACCATCAACATCACCATCATCAACATCAACATCGTCATCATCACTACCAACATCATCACCGTCATCATCATCATCACCATCAACATCGTCAACATCATCATCATCATCAGCATCATCACTACCAACAACATCACCATCATCAGCATCGTCATCATCACTACCAACAACACCACCATCACCACCAGCGCGCAGTCGCACGGTCACGCAGTAAGAGGCGAACGTAACTGCCCCACCCCATCCCCCCCAGCCCCAGGACGCAGTCGCACGGTCACGCAGCAAGAAGCTTTTAACTGCCCCACCCCACCCCCAGCCCCAATACGCAGTTGCGCCGCCACGCAGTAAGCGGCGATCGCAATTCCAGGAGGCTCCGATTCGCAAGTTACTTAGGCCGTATGAGCTAAGGAGGTTTTTGTGTCGCGAGGACAAGATAACTCAGAGCTTGAAATTTCACGAGTTTTCACGG